CAAGGCTGGCTGGGGAATTCTGGGAGTTGAAGTCCACCCGTCTGAAAGCTGCCAAGGTTGAGAAACACTGACCTAGGTGGTCTCTAAGAGTCAACAACTTGATGGCAGATCATCATTTACATTGCATTGTGCATCTGTTTTTAATTCTTGCCGGTTTGATATTGCGAGCCGCCCAGAGTAATTTCGGAGTCGGGCCGCACCTCAATCTAATAACCTAAACCAGTAATAACCCAGAGGGCTGTGGGTGGCTTGTTTCGCCTAGCACTACAGCGAACACGTCGCCACCTCCTGGCAAGGAATAGCTCTGGTCTGCAAAGCCCCCAAAGGAAAGTCGAACGACGAAATATTTGGGAAAGGTTACGGCGACTCAGCCCAGGTGGGGAGAAACCCGGGAAGAAGCGTTTCAGATGATTCAGAGCGACTCCACCTTAATTAACTCGCAGGAAACGGGGCTGGGAAATGCCTCTTGCGGTTTCCGAGCGTCTGTATTTAGCCCAAGATGAAAATCCCTCACTGAAATCTAGGCTGGTCTCAGTTCTTTGATCTTGCCCAGCTGCACTGGCCTCGTTATTTTTTCTTAAATTTTCAGAGCTAACCTCTGCGTGCGAGGCTTGGATATTCCAAAACAAAAACAAAAAAAGCCCACCAAAATGAGCGATCACCGGATTGTAGGGGACGCAAAGGAGGAAGAAATGCTTCCTCTGCTAAAACTGCAGTCCCAAAAGGTTAAGACAGATGTTCAGCCGAGGGGGCAGGTGACCCGACAAGCTACAGAGGCACCTCTTCCCTGTATATAAACTGGCTTGCAGAGAACATGGACAAAACCAGAGCTTATTTATGTATCTAGTTCAACAAAAGAGAACAACTCCCTAAAATTGCTTTTCAGTGGGAAGAGGCGTTCGGGTCTGGGGAGACGTTTAGCGTGCTAAAATGCACGGGGGATAGAGATTCAGGGCAAAAAGAGGGTGGGGGGCACGACAAAAGCCTTTTTTCCAAAGCTTACAATGGAAAGACCTTCGAAGCTCAGCAAAGGAAGGGCTGTTCAATACAAGGGAAAATGGTGAAAAGTGGAAAGTGACCTTGCACTCCTGAACAAACAAGGCCAAATTTGGGAGTGAAGCAGCAAGCGAGGCTGGCCAGGTTTTTGGCAAAGGATCAGAGAGAAGGAGTGATGTCACCACGTGCTTTGCCGGGGCCAGCGAATTCTGTGTGCTGCAATATAAACTTTTTCTGCTAGAAAAGACCCAGAAGGATCCAGATTCTTTTGTACACGTTGGCAGGCGCAGCCCGGGAACTTTTGTCTTCGCCAGCTCGGCGGCCTAAACAACTTTTGTCAGCTTTGGACTTCCAAACAAAAGGAGTGGATGAAAGTCGTTCTAAAAAACAGGTGACAGTGAGAAGAACGAACTGGACTGCTAAAGAAACCCAGGTCATAAGCTATGTTTGGGGAAACTTTGACAAGCGTAGGGGGAAAGCCCTCAGCTGCCAGCTCTTGAAATGAGCAGAGTTAACCCATCAAGGACTAAGCGACGGTGGCATTTCTCCCAGTGTGCTAATCTTCTGCATGCAAGAGGCCGTTTGCGGGTTTTGACCCTGGAGGGATTGTCGACGCGTCCTGCTTCCCGTGAAGCCGCACAACTGGGCGAGTTGGGTGGGTCGCCACAGAAAGTTTATTACATTGTAGGAGGAGAGCGGTGTGGGCCTATGGCAGCAGAAAATAGTCTGGGAGCCCCTTATCTGACTAAAACATTTTATTGAAAGGCATAAGCTCCCGTGAGCCGCAGCCCGCTCCATCAGATGCACTGCATCACGGATGTTTATGCCTTTTGAGAAGGTTTGTTAGCGGGCCAAGGGGCTACCTGGCTCCTTCTGAATGTTTGTTGGGAAACCTTGCCCAATCTTTTCTTGACCTTGGCAAGGAAGTGTGTAAATGCCTGACTCAGAACTGCACAACCCCCTTTCCAACACCTCCCATCCTCTTCCCCTCGCTTGGCTGCCAAAAATTGTCCCATTTAGCCAGAGAGAAAGGACAGAGACGGATGGGGGTGGGGGAGAATCCGTACGTGTGTGTGTGTGTGAGAGAGAGAGAGAGAGAGAGAAGTCAAGTGCACCATCCAGGATGGTGCGATCAAAGCCTCACGTGTAAAAAGAAGTGGGGGCAGAGCTTTGATTACCTAATTGCAGTCACCTTCCTGACTTTTTGGACTCCCCCCGATGACCCACGGAATCCTAGAGCAGCAGACCCTGAAATGGGGACCGCTCAGAGAGACCATACTTGTTGCGAAAAAAGAACAATTCACGCCAGGATTCCAGTCCTCAAAGTTTTAACTGGAGCCCAGCAGCACTGCCCTCCTTGACCAGCAATTGCCTCTTGGCCTCAAAGAGAAGAACGCTGGCAGCCATAGCAGAATTCAAGCTTTCCACACCTGGGATCACCGGGATGGCGAGCTGCTTCCCTCTGCTCCTGTGGGCCAGATTTCTGGCTTCAGCGCTTACCCCGTGGGTCTCCCCGCCAACCACTATGGCTCCGGGAGCATCCATCCACGGCTCGTAATAAGGTTGGACTTGCAGCAAGTCTGTTTCTTCCTCCTCCTCCTCCTCCTCCTGGCTCCCTTTGGATGGGGCTGGCTGGGCCTTTCGGTTGGGGGGCCTGGGGGTCCAGCCCCTGCAAGCAGCCTGACCTGGGGAAGCCCGTTCAGCCTCCGTTTGGGGGCGCTCGGGGGAGCTCTCAGCCACGTGGATGCAGCTTTTGGTGGGCAGGTAATTGGGGACGAGTTCCCACTCCACGTTGGAGATGATGGGGATTCGGAAATGAGCTCCCATCCCCGCCCGAAGCACTTTGGGTTCCCACGCATCAACGCAGCCTGGAGAAGGGAAGGAGGAAAAGGGTGAGGTGACAGGGGGACCCTCACGAAGAACCCACCAGAGATAGAGCTGGGTTCATGCAGCGCACTAGGCCTGGCTAAAACCTCAGAGTCTGGTTTGTGTGTTGGAACCACACACTGTCCTGGCTTGTTGGGGGAACTGGCCATCCATCTTCCGGTTCAATGTTTCTCAGCCTTGGCAACTTTAAGCTGCATAGACTTCAACTCCCAGAAGTTGGGAGTTGAAGTCCTCTCATCTTAAAGCCTGCTGCTGGCTGGGGAATTCTTGGAGTTGAAGTCCATGCAGCTTAAAGTTGCCAAGGCTGAGAAACACTGTTCTGGTTTATTTGGCTGGGCATCACAAGACAGCCAGGGAGTTGCGTGAGCCCAAACGTATTCATTGATTTATGTGACTGATCTAGCCGCCCAGTGCACCAACATAATTCTAGGCAGTGTACCAAGATTAAAACCAAAGGAACAATAACACTGTGTATAAACCATTATATCAAAATAAACCAAGTGCATGGGGTTAAAAAAAACCCACTTCAGGCTTAAAACTATAATTAAACAGTGAACAAATGGTTCAACCTCAATTGCTCAACCTCCCGGCCCAAATGCCTGGGGGAACATCCAGGTCTTTCATGCCTTGCGAAAGG